TCTTCTTCTTCTTCTTCTTCTTCTTCTTCTTCTTCTTCTTCTTCTTCAATTTTATCATTCTTATCTTCCACATCATTACTGTTACTGCCAGAATCATCAGCCATCTCCCCAAGCTTATCATATTCTATTGATTTCAAGCACGGGAAAAAATGGAACCGATCTGAAGCTTTGGAAATGACCATAACCTTAACATAAAATTCACTGGGCAACTAGTGAATTTTACAAATTATTTTCCTATGGAAAGATCATTTCCTTTGTAAAATAAGGGCAAGGAATATGAAACACTAACATTCATCCATGTATTCAATTATCAAGATATCTAGAGAATCTAAGGTCCCATAGGAAGTTGAATACCAAGGCATATAGGTGGTTAGAATTCCAATCTAAATCCCTCAAATCACAGGAAGACCAATAAGGAATAAGTACAAAGGCATCCTTTTTCTGTGACTGGTCTGTGAATCTGTGGCTCTGCCACACAGTTAACATTTGCTCTAGCAGAGGCAAATGTTCTCTGTTTCAATAAAGTACCTGATGCGCTAAGACCACTCATCTGTGGGGATCCTGAAATGCTTGGGATGCACCCATGACTTTCTGGTTCTTTTGTTTCATCATCTTTAATGACTTCCCAGCCTGAAAAGATAGTAGTCAAGGAAAAAGCCAAATAGAAAGAGAACACACAGATCACTTTAACTAAAAGTGATCTTAATACTTAATTTAGGCCAAATTTAAATCATTGTATCTGCATTCTTAGTGTGGAGAAGTTTGTAATATTAAATTACACACAGACTTCTGTTGTCTGTATTTACTGTTTCTAGCTAGAAAAATAACATTTCAAAAATCTTAAGTTATACCATCAAAACTGGTGTTCAAACACCAGAAGAGAGGACTAACTAGGCAGGCTGCTTAGTGTTATACAACTTACCAAACATAGTAAGGTTCTGAATTTGATCCCTAAAACCACAAATAAAAGCAAAACTAGCAACCAGAGGTGTGATTTGCAAGCACATGCACATGAGTGGAAACAGACTATAATGGAAAAATACTTGATATAAAGGATACGGACCCTGATGGCTTCAGCATCGGAGCGCAGCAGTCTCTTAACTTCGTTTTTCACATCTGGAGATTTAATGTACTGAAGCAAAGTAGGGGTGTTGGGATACCAGTAATGGCATTTAGAACCCAGTTTTATAAAAATGCCCTTTTCATATATATTAATGAATTGAAATGACTGGGCCATGTTTGATAGTCATCCAACAACAGTCATGCTTAAACAGTGCTATTTATGAAGGAACCTACCTAAATCTGTATTTTGTATAATACTCTCATTTTTCAAAATTGAATCACTTGAGATGTTTAATCTTATCTGTCTATAACTCTATGGAAAAGATTTAACACTTATGTTTTATTATTTGCCTTGACTCATACTGGCAAACTGCTATAACTCCATGTTAGTTACTTATAATTTGGTTTAAAATCCAAATTCCCAGACTTCATTGTCCCATTTTTACTATTGAAATGTTCCTACAAAAACTAGATCCTATTTACATGTTCTCCCCTAAATATAGTTTTAATCAATTACTCCACAGCAATTAATTCATCTTGACACAAATAGAAAACAAGGCTTTTGTTGAAAAATCACATTAGTTCAAGCAATTGTTGTTAAATTGAACCCTTGACTTCAAAGAATTAACTTTTGAAATGAAAATAAGGGAGCCAGGTGGTGGAAAGCAATCTGTAATGCATGGTAGCACTAGCAAAACTGATTATTTTTTCTCCTAGAAGTTGTTATTGAACATTAAATAATTATTTCTCAGTGAATAAATTCCAGTGTATGTATGTATGCATGTATGTATGTATGTATGTTTGTATGCTTGTATGATATATATTCATATATATATGGATAGCATATTCAAGTAAACAACAAAAATTATGACCGATGCTGTACCTCATTAAAGCGGAAGTCATCCATTTGTTTGACATCTGGGTGCTATGAAGTAAAGTACAACGAAGAACAATGTTATATTTTGATCGTTCCATTTGAGTCAAGCTTAAAGAGCTATACAATTATGTTTAAATACTTTTTATATTTAGTAGACAATAAATTTCATTGACTGTCAGGTTATTAAGCCAAACTTACCACATAAATTTTAAAAAGTTGATCACAAGTTCAACAGTTTCTCTCAAAATTCTAACAAAGTTTTCTGTATACATGTACAAGTTTATTCTAAAATTAATATGGGAGGATACATATTCTAAAATGTTTAAAACAATATTGATGAAACAAAATGAAATGGTAGCAATCAACCTTCCAATTTCAAACTTTATCTGTGGAGAGACTGATGCATGGATCCATGGACCAGAATAAAGAACCCATCTACAGTACAAATATTCTCAAGGGAGAGGTGAAGGAATAGAGGGACAAGGGAGAAGAAGAAGAATGGGAGATGGGAAATCTTGAATTAAAACTCGTGCTTTTATAAAACTGAAATATAGATTGCAGGCATAAATATAAATTGTAAAACTTTCAAAAATGAATGAGAGAACATCTTCAGTATCTAGGATAAGAGAAGAATCCTTAGATTTAACAATAAAAAAAGCAGGACTCACCTAGCAGTGTATAAAAGCAGATACTATGACTCATAACCAAACCTTTGGCAGAGTGCAGGGAATCATATGAAAGAAGGGGGAGTTAGTATGACTTGGAGAGTACAGGAGCTCCACAAGGACCAAATCTATCTGGGTACAGGGGTTTTATATGAAACTGTTTATCCAACCAAGGACCATGTATGGATATAACCTAGAATCTCTGCTCAGATGTAGCCTGTGGTAGCTCAGTAACCAAGTGGATTTCCCTAGTAAAGGGAACAGGGACTATTCCTGACATGAACTCAATGGCAGGCTCTTTGACCTCCCCCATCCCCCAAGGGAGGAGCAGCCCTGCTAGGCCACAGAGGAAGACTTTGCAGCCAGTCCTGAAGATACCTGATAAAACAGGGTTAGATGAAAGGGAAGGAGGTCCTCCCCTATCAGTGGACTTGGAAAGGGGCAGGGAAGAGATGAGGGAGGGAGGGTGGAATTGGGAGGGAATGAGGGAGCGGGATACAGCTGGGATACAGAGTTAATAAAATGTAACTGATAATAAAAAATAAAAATAAAAAAATAATTTCCTCCAAAAAAAAAAGCAGGACTCTTAAAACAAAAACATCAATAAGTTAAGTTTCATCAAAACTAAAAATTTTGCTGTATGAAGATCTTATAAAGAGGACTAAAAATTTAAGCTATTAGCTCTAAGAAGGTATTGATAATCTATGCAAATATGATGAAAGACTAGTATATAGAATAGAAAAAGAACACTTGAAACTTAACAAGAACTCATTTTAGAAAATAGACAAAAGAAGCTATGTGTTGTGGCACATGTTTGCAATCCCAGCATTCAAAGAATGAGGCAGGAGAATTGCTATGAATTCAAAGCTATTAACTATCTGAAAGATACAAATTAATACCACAATAAAATCACTATGCAGGTTATCAGAATGGCTAAAATAAAATAAAATAATGACAAGACCTAATGCAGGTGAGGAGGTGGAGAATTTTGAGCAATCATATATTATCAGTGTGAATATAAAATGATACTTCTGAAAACAGTGTGGCAGTTTCATATAAAACTAAAAATGCTTGTGGCTTGTGAAGTGGCTCAACATTGAGATGCTTCTTATGCCTGAAGACCTGAGTTTGATAATTAGAATTGATTCTCAAAAGTTGTGGGCTCCATGTGTCTCACACATGCATGCACACACACTAAATGAATGTAAATGCATTTTAAAAGCATAGCAAGGGACATACATCAGTTGGTAAAGGGCTTGGCTAACATGCACTAAATTCTGTGATTAATCCTTGGAAACATATAAAACAGGGTGTGGAAGTGCATGCCTGTAATCCCAGCACTTGAGAGGAGGTAGCAGGAAGATCTAAAGTCATCTGTGACCACACAGCAAGTTCAAAGCCAGACTGAACTACATGATAAAGACCCCCCCCCGTCTCAAAAATATTTTTACAAACCTTCTACTTGGGGGCTTGTAAGCCCCTCCTCCCTTTAGAGAGATGGTTCAGTGGTTAAGGGAACTGGTTGCTCTTACAAAGGTTTCAGATCCTCAGGTCCCAGCAACAACTTATGGTAGTTCACAACCACCCTTAACCCAAGTTCCAGGCTATCCAATAGGCATGCATGTCATGCACATACGTGCATGCAGGCAAGATACTCATATACATTAAGCAAAATGAATAAAATATAAAAATATTTTTAAAATAGACAGATCACATTATTCCTGAACATTTATCCTAGAGAAATTAAAATTTATGTTCACATAAAAATCTGCTCACAGCTTTATTTTAATTGTCAAAAACTGGAAACAATACAGGTATGTTTTAATGGGTTAACAGTTAAACACATTCGTATTTTCACTCCTTGATATACAATTCAGCAATAAAAAGGAACTGTTGATTCATGCCATTCTTGATGTTACTGTATGTTCAATTTATTTATTGTCATGAAATAACTACAGAAATGAAGAAAATATTTTGATCTTTTAGGCACTAAAGATCAGGGGTGTAAGGCAGGAGGAAAATATAGATAGCTATAAAAGGGCAATATGAGACACATTTTGTGGTGATGGAACTGTTTAACCATCTTAACAATGTAGGTGGATCATGAATCTAGCTATGTAGTAAAACTGCATAGAACTAAACACATATATAAATACATAAGTTTAAGAAGATGAGATATTTCATTAAGACTGGTGAATTGAAATACTTATAATTTCATTTATGATATTGTTCTATAGTTTTGTAAAATGTTACAAAGGGGTAAAGTAGGGAAAGAGTGCACTGTGAACTTCTAGTTTTTCCAATTGCATATGAATATCTGATTATTTCAGTGTTTTTCATTGAATTTTTAAAATGAATCCAAAGTACAATACTCTTCCTATAGCTCACCTGAAGTAAGGTTAGAAATTTAAGGATAATTCCTACTTTATCGGGTTCTAGATGACTTTGATTTAAAACTTTATTTCTCTCTCTCTCTCTTTTTTTTTTTTAGAAAAAAATCTCACTCTGTATCCTCTGTTATCCCGGTTACTGGCAATATAGCCTAAGCTGTCTTCCAACTGATGGCAATCCTCTTGCTTCATCTTACAAATGCTAAGATTACAGGCCTGGCTTTAAATCTATAGCAATCAGAAACTTAAAGCATGGGCTGAAATGTCAAATTCATGACTCTTCTAAATCCCTAACAATGAGCTTATACCTAAAGAACTGGGTCTACTTTTATTCACTGCTGTCATCCCAACTGCTAGCTCATAATGCTGTAGATCTTGCATATTTTTACATTTTTGAGGCAGGGTCTTATTCTGTAGCCAGGGATTGCCTTGAATTCATAATCCTTCTTCTTTAGCCTCTCAAGTATTGAGATTACAGATAAGTACCACTACATCTGGTAGGCATTGTTTATTGAACAAAGAAATGAACCAATAAATTCCTAACTGACTCTCTCCCTTGCTTTCCCTCTTAGTTTTAATCCACCAAGTAGAAACACAAATGGCATGAGACTAACCTTTTTGGTTGTATTCCGGAACCTTTTCTTTCTGACATTCTTAAGTGGTGGAGTAACTAAAATAAAAACATGATAAAAACATACCATATGACTGATGACTGTCCTATATCTACATGAATTTGATAAAGAAATATTTCATGTTTGTGGCATGACTTCTTTCTTTAAATAAGAGGTTAAGGAACCAGGTAAGAGATCCTGATTCATAGGGATTTGCAATGCAATTGATAAATGCAGTCAGACAGAATGAGCAAGGTATTGGTGACTTACTGCCATGCTTCCAGTTATATTTTTTTTCCTCTGTCTTCCCATCACCATTGCCAGTTGCAAAAGGATCAGTAGAGGTAACATGCTCTTCTGGAGAAGAGTGAGGCTTACCATCAGCACTGCATACCAGCATCTACATTTAGCAAAGACAAAGAAGTTGACTATTGCCCAAATATTTGTTAGTAATAAATCATAAGCATACCTCCAGAAATCTGGAGCACAGAAGATTCTTGATATTTCCCAAAACCAAGTACTATGCAATATACATTCAGATTCTTTAATATATCACGTTTCCATCCTCTTCTCCTTACCTCTACCCCTTCTCTCTCTGCACCATGATATATAGATTTGACTTTTACCTAGTGTTTACCACTTCAGAAGGAATATCATGAAATGCATACATTTTAGCATTTTGATTTAGAGAGGCAATCAGAAAGCACCAGCAGGGATGATCAGTAAGAACCAATTTTTCTTCAGAGTTAACATACTTTTCTAGCAGAAAGTGCAGAAAAAAGATCTAAGCCATTCATATTTTTAAATTAATAAAAGTCACTATAAATGTCAAAAAAGGAGCAGGAGTCTGTACAAGTAAAGAAATGAAAAGTTAAGTATCAGATACCAAACCAGAGCATGACATTATGTTCCTGTGCAATTGGTCTGGTGATTACAAATGGTTATTAGCATTTAGCATGTGTAAAGTAATACTGGCAGAATGAATGAAGAGTCCACAAAAAGTATGAGAACTAGAAGACTAAGAAAATCAACCCAGTGCTTGTGATATACCTCAGTGGTAGTTAAAACAATTGCCTAGCATGCATGAGGCCCTGGACCTGGTACTAAGCACTAAAAAGCAAAACAAAACAAGATTTTGGTTTTGTTGTTCTTCTTGTGGAGCTCCTGTCTCCTCCAGGCCTTTCATCTCCCCCTTCTTTCATAAGATTCCCTGCACTCTGCTATGAGTCTCAGCATCTGCTTTGATACCCAGCTGGGTAGAGTCTTTCAGAGGCCCTCTGTGGTAGGCTCCTGTCCTGTTTCCTGTTTTCTCCCTCTTCTGATGTCCATCCCATTTGCCTTTCTGAATGAGGATTGATCATCTTACTCAGGATCCTCCTCTTGCTTAGTTTCTTTAGGTGTACAGATTTTAGTATGTTTATCATATATAATATGTCTAATATCCACTTATAAGTGAGTATATACCATATGTGTCTTTCTGCTTCTGGAGTACCTCTCTCAGAACCAAAAAATCTGGGCCCTGGAGTCTTTTCTGAGACTGATACTCCAACCAAGGACCATTCATGGAGGTAACTTAGAACCCCTGCACAGAAATAGCCATAGCAGCTCAGTCTCCAAGTGGGTTCCCTAGTATTAGGAACAGGGACTGTCTCTGACATAAACTCAGTGCCTGGCTCTTTGATCACCTCCCTCTGAGGGGGGAACAGCCTTACCAGGCCACAGAGGAAGACAATGCAGTCACTCCTGATGAGACCTGATAGGCTAGTGTCAGAGGGTAGGGGAGGAGGACCTCCCCTATCAGTGGACTGGGGGAGGGGCAAGGGAAGAGAAGAAGGAGGGAAGGTGGGATTGGGAGGGAATGAGGGAGGGGGCTACAGCTGGGATACAACATGAATAAATTGTAATTAAAAATAAATTAATAAAATAATCAACCCATTTAAAAAAAAAAACAAGATTTTATGGAACTAGGGATATCACTCAGCTGGTAGAGTGCTTGTCTAGCATTCACAAAGACATAGGTTTGATACTCAGCATAGCCTAAGGCATGCCTGTAAGCCTAGCACTTGGTAGTTGAAGACAGAAGGATTAGAAATTTAAAGTCATTCAGCTACATACTGAGTTTGAGGCTAACCTGGGATATATGAAACAATTTCTCAAAAAAAAATCATACCTGAGAAATATCTGCTGTTTTATAAAATGTTTTTCTATCAACAGTTTTCAGGCTTCCAACAACACAAGGCAAATTAACCAGCTTAGCAGGCAGTGAGACATTGTCGACCTGAACAACTGCACTGTGGCCATCAGCTAAAGGAAAGTAGAGAAAATTAATATTGACATTCCAATGAACACTTCAGTCTCCAAGAATTTGAATAATAAAGACTTATGAGGCAAAGACAAGTTATTCAATAAAACTGTTTCTTTAAAAGCTAAAAATCAATATTCAATTAGTAACTTCAAGAAAGAGTATATAAAGCTTGTTTCTTCATATTGTATGTTACTAGTTAAAAAGTAGTTTCTAATGCTAGCAATGATGAGAAATAGCAACTGTTTTTTTTGACATTCCTTTAAAAAAGCATTGTTTTAAAATTTATATTTGTATATTGTCTAAAGGTTGGAAAGATAACATATCCTATTCTTTTTTTCATTATTCTTTAATGCCTAGTATACTGCCTGGCACACAGCAATCTGTAGCAATTTGCTATTTAATATATTGTAAATTGGTCTTAGGTACTTACCAGAAAAGTCAATTTTTAGTTTATTCTTCTTGGCAGCACCTCTAGAATGTATAACCTTTCTGACAGCACAAGCATGTTCCTGAAAGGGAGGTAAATTAAAAATCAGAAAGATTTAGTTGATAACTAATAGAATAGACACTTCAAAGTGAGTCTTCCCTTGATTAAAACATTTCCCAAATGCTATGTACCGTGAAAGCCCATGCATTGTATAAGTTAGATGAAGTCAATTCAAATTTCATCATCATCTTTTAGAAACTACAGTTGGTGCCTTCTCCCAGCTTTTTAGTTCTACTTCTTACTGCTATCTTCCATTGAATTTACTATGGAAAGGATTAGCTACAATTTATTGTAATTAATTAACTATAATTGGATAATAGCTTTCTGACTATCTCTATCATAGCCTCCTAAATGAAATAATACTTGAAAATGGTTATTAATAGGGGAAAAAAGAGACTCAATCATAATGCTAAAATGGAGTTTCATAACTTTGCTTGGTGATGAGTCTGCAGGTGACATAATTACAGTCCCTCCAACCACCTCTTCTGAGATGACAGAAAAAATTTTAGAACAGCCTTACCTTGGCTATCCAGAAAATTGGCTGTTAATATTTGTGATAAGTGACTGGTTGATCCATAATTGTCATTGTCATGTTGTGGTTTTTTTTTGTTTGTTTTTGTTTTTGTTTTTTTTTTTTTTTTTTGGACAGGAAGAAAGAAATACTGTGAGAAGAATATGCACTACAATAGAACTGCTTAATAGACTTCTGGGAAGCAAATGTTCTGATCTTTTTTAGCCTGAAATACAAATTTTACCTAAGTAGAACTATACTTTTGCATTGAAAATATTAATTCTGAAACATAAGAGTTACTTACTGAAGGCAGACGCAATAGAAACTGTTCCTCAATTGCGTAAGGTTCATCACACTTTACACTCATGGCTTGTTTTTGAGTTCATAAAACACAAAACAAACAGAAAGCCATTATGAATTCTTGCTCACTCTGGTGACCATCTCTGGTAGCACTAGTTATTTTATGTAAGATCTTACCCATAATTCTCATTGAAAAATGTGCATATTAGTAATACTTTGATATTTTAACTTTTAAAAGTCATCATTTCCAAAGTCAATCCAAATTACATGATGTTACTTGATGAATAAATAACTAAGCTGTTATGAAACATGATTTCATATTTAAGTAATATACTTAAAACTGTCAAGTAGGGGTAAATTTCAACAAGCTTAAATGGTCTCCATGGGCCTGAATGCAAACCAAAAAATGAAATTAACCCAGAACCCAGATGTAGACATACTGATTTGAAGTGCTGAGCCCAAGGCTCAAGGATCTTCAAGGCAAAGGGGAATGAAAAGATGATAAGAGCTGAGGTAGTGGATGACTACCCTGAAGTGATGATTTGGACACAACAGGACAGCTGACATATGAATTCACTGTGATTAGGACAGCATGCTCAAGACCTGTACAAACTCCAACCAGACAAAGTCCCAGCATAGAGTTTGAGGAGGTGGGCACAAAATCCCATGCTCTAGCTGTAAAGCTATTAGAATTCTATAGTTTTTGGGAGAAGGACAGTCAGTTTTCTTTAATGGTGTGACTCTTGGTGGGTTGACTACATTCCTGAGGAAACCTCACACCCAAGAGTTGTTAGGCAATACAAATTGGACTCCAGGACTTTTTTAAGAAAAAAAAATCACAGAATTAACTCTGTAACAAGGTAAAGAGGGATCTAGGAGGAGTTGGAGGAGGTGCATGAATCTGATAAAAATACATTATCTAGAATTCTCAAAACATTATTTATCAAAAATTTTAAAAATAGTAAAAGTATTTTTAAAATTAATTCCGTAGTATAATTTTTGGACATTATTAGAAAGTATAGAAAGTACAAAGAGAGCAGGAATAAAAAAGACACCCAGGAAGGGGCTAGAGAATGGATTATTTTTATAGTTATTTCTATTTTATTGTTTCTAAATATATATACACGTATATAAATAATGAAAAACAAACATAAGAGTGTATATGATCAAAATGTATTATATACATATATGGAAATTGTGCATAGGGGTTTTACTGACCCCTATGCACAATTAAGACAAACTTCTGCAAAATTTAAAAATAAAAAGTGAATGAAGTAATCTTGGGGCTGGGTATACCACTTAATGAGTGAAAACAGAAAATATTAAGACCAAGAATACAAACACAGAATTTAAGGAAAAAGCTTATCAGATCATTCATATCTTTTAGACTTCTCAGCAGAACTAATATTAGGGCATTTTGTTCATTTTAGTGCCTTTTTTGGCAACTCCTCGTTTACAAAATAAAAACTTTAGGAACTCAAATTTTTAAAGTATTTCCTAGTTAATAGCCCCAGTAAAAAGGTCTGAAGGAAGAGAAGGTGAAAAACCTAGTTGAAAGGGTTTTAATAAAGAATAAGAAAACAACAACAACTGGAAGAATGATATATTAAAGAAAATGAATCTGCTTTTCCCCCGAAAATATTTTTCTTAGTTTTTGAAACTCCCATGAGGCACTCTTGGATACCTAATTAAATGAACATAATCACTGTCCACTGCTCACATCTGGCTTATCTCCCTCCAGCAGGACAATTGGAATAGTGTAAACAGAGAGAGCAAAATCCCTCACTCCAGATGGCAGAAACTTGGTCCCACAATTTTTAAAATTTTTTAAAAACTTATTTATTTATTACAATTTATTCACTGTGCCCCCTCTTTAGTCCCCTTCCTCTTCTCCCTCTATGCCCTTTCCCTCGTCCCCTGATAGGGGAAGGTCCTCCCCTTGTTTTTTTGTTTTTAAGATGTACTTATTCATTATTTATACAGTATTCTGCCAGCAAGTGTGCCTGCATGCCAGAAGAAGACACCAGATCTCATTATAGATAGATGGTTGTGAGCCACCATATGGTTACTGGGGATTTGAACTCAGGACTTCTGGATGGGCAGCAAGTGCTCTTAACCGCTAAGCCATCTCTCCAGCTCCCCCTCTTCCCTTTCTATCTGATCCTAACCTATTAGGTCTTATCAGGGCTGGCTGCATCTTCGTCCTGTTCCTGTAGCCAAACTTTGGACAGAGTGCAGGGAACCTTATGAAAGAAGAGGGAGATAGAAAGACCTGTAGGGAACAGAAGCTCTATAAGGAGACCAACAGAGCCAAAAACCTGGACCCAAGGGGTTCTGCAGAGACCAATATTCCAATGGAGCACCATGCATGGAGAGGACCTAGACTCCCTGCTAAGAGGAAGCCCATAGGCTGCTCAGTTTCCAGGTGGGTGCCCTAGTGAGGGGATCTGGGGCTGTCTCTGACATGGACTCAGTAGTGGGCTCTTTGTTCACTACACGGAATATTACTCAGCAATTAAAAACAAAGAAATCATGAAATTTGCAGGCAAATAAATGGTGGGAACTAGAAAAGATCATCCTGAGTGAGCTAACCCAGAAGCAAAAAGACACATATGGTATATACTCACTTATAAGTGGATATTAGCCATATAATATAGGCTAAACATATTAAAATCTATAGTCCTAAAGAAGCTAAACAACAAAGAAGACCCTAGGGAAGAGGCTGAAACCTCACTCTAGGCAAACAGGGTAGACATCAGAAGTAGGAGAAGACAAGGAACAGGAAAGGAGACTTCCACAAGGGACTTCTGAAAAACCATAACCACCAGGGTATCAAAGGAGAAACAGACTCATACTCGCATTTTTTTTTTAAGCACACAACCTTGAGCTGCCTTTGGAGACTGCCCGTTTCATCTTTTTCCTGGGGAAACTAAACGGAAAAAGTTCTGCTCCTGCTGCTTCTGCTAATTTGTGCTGGAAAAAAAATTATGCAGAAAAGCCACAGGAGCCTTCACAGTTCACGGTAGGTAAACCTGGTTCAGGCAGGATGCTGCAGAGACACCTTCCTGCCTTTCCAGAAGCCCGGTGGTCCTTCTATTCACCTGCTGGCCAGGACACTCTTGCATGTGCCCTGCTCCCCGGGCTCTACAGCCCTCACAGCAGTTGCCAAAACTGGGCAAGGTGCTTGCAAAAGAACCCTGGCTGACAGGTAGAGGCCTGCACGCCCAAGCCCCGCCCCTCGCCCCACTCCCCAGCCAAGCAGACAACTCCAGGTCTCGAAGCTTCTAGGCCACGTGTACAGCCTTTAGGCTGCGTGAGTGAGTGCATGTGTGCACCATGCACAGCCAGGGAGAGAGCTCCCCTGCTGTGCTGCAACCGAGCCAGGAATGGACGCGCCACTAGGGGTGTGGTCAAACCCTAACTCCTAACTCCTTGTATGTGGCAGGGAGGCTCAGGGTGGGGCCAAGGTTGAGAGAGGGAGGCTAAGGTCACTTGAAGGACCTGGGGCAGGTGTCAACACAAAGAAAAAAAAAGTGGTGCAGCACATGCTTAATCCTCCAATCTGAGAGCTTGTCATTTGGCTAGGCTATTTCTGGGTGTTAAATATGGCACCCCCTGAGGCCCAAAAACTGACTGGCCAGTCCTGAGCTCTCAGTACAGCTGGCCATTGGCTAGGCTGCCGCCTGTACCTTTTTCCCATGACATGTTTCACACCTCAGAGGAACTTTTCAAAAGTCCTTCCTTTTGTGGGGGCACAACTAAGCCACCCTGCTGAGGGCCATAACTGTCACAAGTACTGCTGTGGTCGTCGACCCCCACCCACGGCCCAAAAGTGACTAGCCAGGTCCAGGCCTTTCCCCGCTCATAGGTGTCGCACCTCAAAGGAACTTTTGAGGCTCTCAAGGTCCCCATGGTGGGGCGACAAACGCGCCACCCTGCCAAGGCCCCAAACTGCCACCAGCGGCGCTTCGATGGTGTGGCCCACTCCAACCCTCCACCCCAGGCCCAAAACTCACTGGCCAGGTCCAAGCCCTCCCTAGAGAGACCGGCCATTATGGCTCTATCACAGAGTGTCACCTCGGAGGACCTTTCGAGGCTCACAAGTTGCTCCGTATGTGGGGGCACAAACACACCACCCTGCCAAGCGCCACAACTGTCCCAAGTACTGCTGTGGTCGTTGCCCCCCACCCCAGGCCCAAAACTGACTAGTCAGGTCCGGGCCTTGTCAAAGACGCCCGCCATTACTTTCTATAAAGGAGTCCAGGCTGCCACCCGAAACTTGCCTCGTCACAGGTGTCGCACCTCAAAGGAACTTTTGAGGCTCTCAAGGCCCCCATGGTGGGGTGACAAACGCGCCACCCTTTCAAGGCCCCAAACTGCCAGCAGCGGTGCTGCGGTGGTGTGACCCACTCCAACGCGCCATCCCAGGCCTAAAACTGACTAGCCAGGCCAGGGCCTTGTCAAAGACGCCCGCCATTACGGTTTTGTCACAGAGTGGCCAGGCTTTGGCCTGCACTGTCCCCTACAGCCACTGCACTTCGGAGGACCTTCCAAGACTCACAAGCCCCTCCGTTTGTGAGGGCACAAATACACCACCATGCCGAGGGCCACAACTGCCACCACTAGTGCTGTGGCGGCCCCGCCCAGGCCCAAAACTGACTAGCAAGCTCTGGGCCCTCATCAGAGACGCCCACCATTACTTTCGGCCAAGGAGACCAGACAGCTCCCCGAACCCTAACCCCCGTAGGTGTCACACCTTTTGAGGCTTGCAACCTCCTTCTGTCCCCATTGTGGGCAACTAAGTTAAACGCCACTCACCTCGCATTGACTTTTCGATACTTCTGCCACGAGAACAGCTGCGGCGGTGACCCTGGGCCTGTGCCCAGCTGGTGCTGGCAAAAGGAATCTCTGGGCCTCGAGCACCTCCACTTTCAGATATGTCCACAGCACTTTCAGCACAAAGGCTAACAGGAACTTGGGGCTCTTGGGAGCCCATTTCTTCTGATGTTGAAACAGCTATTGGAGGGGCTTCTGGAATATCCAGCTGGTCCGCCTCAGTCGGGGCGCCCTCCACGGGAACTCCCTCAGCGCGTGCTTCCTCAGCAGGTTCCATGACCCACACTGCCTAGCGGGAGTCTGGGGGCCGCTAATATAGCAAGGAGTTTTGTCACGTGGTATAGCGGGTTCCAAAAATTCAAGAAATTGTGCAAAAATACATCTTTCTTTTTTATTTTTATTTTTGTTTTTTTTTTCTTTTTGTTTGTTTTGGGGGAGTCTTTTTTATTTAGTCTTTTTTTTTCTCTTAAAGGGACAGTGATACTAATAAGATGTTTTCTTGCCTATCAGATTTTATAAACTCTCTACTGCTCAACACTAATCAAAGCTTAATTTTAAAGGGTGCTTTTTTGAAAGACTTGTACAATAATTGCTTCTAGATACATATCTGTTTTTTATGTTCAATGAAGCCACATTATCAGAACTTTAAACCTTCAAGAAAAAGTATTGCTGCATTTTTAAATCCATGCCTACTAGAACTCTCAAAGCAAAATTTGCAATCTCCCTTTAAAATACTGACCCTGGGGCTGGAGAGATGACTCACAACACAAATTAAGAGCAAAGACTGCTCTTGCAGAACACCACACTTCAGCACTCACTTCAGGTTGTACACAACTGTCTGTAACTTCAACTCCATGGGAGAATGGGATGCCTCTGGCCTCCAGGGCATCTGCATTCACTTGCACACAGACACACAAGAATAAATACACAATTTAAAAGTCTTAAAAAGAAAGTACTGAAGTGTCAACCCTTCCCTTTACTTTCCCTGTTCCTGTTTTTATATACAGTAAATGACACTGAAAACTGCTCAAAAGTTTAAAAAAAAAACACAATTGTGGTACAATTTTTAATTAATTAATTAATTTTTATATTAATTACAGTTAATTTACTTTGTCTCCCAGCTGTAGCCCCCTCCCTCATCCCCTCCCAATCCCCCCTCCTTCCCTCATCTCCTTCCTGCCCCTCTCTAAGTCCACTGATGGGGGAGGTCCTCCTCCCCTTCCATCTGATCCTAGCTTATCAGGTCTCTTCAGGGCTGGCTACATTGTCCTCCTCTGTGGCCTAGCAAGGCTGCTCCTCCCTTGGGGAGGTCAAAGAGCCAGCCATTGAGTTCATGTCTGAGACAGTCCCTGTTCCCCTTATTAGAGAAACCCACTTGGATACTGAGCTGCCATGGGCTATGTCTGAGCAGGGGTTCTAGGTTATATCCATTCATGGTCCTTGGTTGGAGAAACAGTCTCAGAAAAGACCCCTGGGCCCAGATATATTTGGTCCTTGTGGAGCTCCTGCTATAAATGTCAGATAAATAGTACTCTAGCAAAAATGTCTGATGAAGTATTCTTCAGGTAGAAAGGGGGATTGCAGTATCAGTTTCTTTCTAAGTTTAGTACTCCAAAAAGCATTAAATGAGAACTTAGTTTAGTAGCATAATAATTTTACATATTGTAATGTGTTGCATTAAAACAGTTTTGAACATGCATTTACATACACTGATCATATTCATCCCCTCCAGTGTCCTTTCTCATCAATTTTACCCTTCCTACTTCTTTTATTTGTTTTCCAGAACATAATCTAACTTTTATTAACTTTAAAAGAATAAATTTTATGTTAGCATAATGACATTTTCATACATGTATGTCATTATGTTCACTTCCCACTCGGACTTCCCCCATACACTCTATACACCCCACATTAGTCACCCTCTTTTGCTTATTTAGTCCTTCCTTTCTTAAGCACCTATATTCCATTACTCTTTGTTCCCCTTTCTTTTTATTTTTTATTTTTTTTATTTTTGCTGTATCTTTAATGGTTTTCTTTCTTTTTTTTTTGAATTTTATTTTTTACTTATCAGTTACATTTTATTAACTCTGTATCCCAGGCGTGTCCCGATCCCTCATTCCCTCCCAGTCCCTCCCTCCCTCCCTCATCTCCACCGTGCCCCTTGCCAAGTCCACTGATAGGGGGGACCTCCTCCCCATTCATCTGATCCTGTTTTATCAGGTATCTTCAGGACTGGCTACAAAGCTCTCCTCTGTGGCCTAACAGGACTGCTCCTCCCTTGGGGGGTGGGGAGGCCAAAGAGCCAGTCATTGAGTTCCTGTTAGAAATAGTCCTTGTTCCCCTCACTATGGGAAGCCAATGGGTTACTGAGCTACCACAGGCTACATCTGAGCAGAGGTTCTAGGTTACATTCATACATGGTCCTTGGTTGCATGTCAGTCTCAGAAAAGACCCTGTGCCCAGATATATTTGGTCCTTGTGGCGCTCCTATCCTTTCCTCATCAGACTAACTCCCCTTCTTTCTTATGATTCCCTGTACTCTGCCAAAGGTTTAGTCATGAGTCTTTGCTTTGAAAACACTGCTAGTTAGAGTCTTTCAAATACGCTCAGTAGACTCCTGTCATATATTCAATGCGCATCCCATCTGTCTTTCTAAACGAGGATTGATAATCTTACCCCATGTCCGCTCTCTTGATTATCTTTTTTAGGTGTATAGATTTCATTATGTTTATCATATCTTATAGGACTATATAAGTGAGTATATACCGTGTTTGTCTTTCTCCTTCTGGGATATTTCACTCAGGATGATCTTTTCTAGATCCCACCATTTGCCTGCAAATTTCATGATTTCCTCCTTTTTGATTGCTGAGTAGTATTCCATTGTGTAAAAATACCACAATTTCTGTACCCATTCCTCCATTGATGGACATCTGGGTTGTTTCCAGGTTCTGGCTATTACAAATAATGCTGCTATAAACATGGTTGAGCAAATATCCCTTTTGTGTACTTGAGCAAACTTTGGGTATATACCTAGCAGTGGTATAGCTGGGTCTTGAGGAAGCACTATTCCTAATTGTCTTAGAAAGCGCCAGGTAGATTTCCAGAGTGGTTGTATCAGTTTACATTCCCACCAGCAGTGGAGGAGGGTTCCCCTTTCTCCACAACCTCTCCAGCATGTGTTGTCCCTTGAGTTTTTCATCTTGGCCATTCTGATGGGTGTAAGGTGATATCTCAGGGTCGTTTTGATTTGCATTTCCCTGATGGCTAATGAGGATGAGCATTTCTTTAAGTGTTTCTCTGCCATTCGTTATTCCTCTACAGAGAATTCTCTGTTTAGCTCTGTTCCCCATTTTTTAATTGGATTACTTGGTTTGCTGCTTTTCAGCTTCTTTAGTTCTTTGTATATACTCGATATTAGTCCTCTGTCAGATAAAGGGTTAGTGAAGATTCTTTCCCAATCTGTAGGCAGGCGTTTTGTTTTGATGACAGTGTCCTTTGCTTTACAGAAGCTTTTTAGTTTTATGAGGTCCCATTTATTGATTGTTGGTCTTAGAGCCTGTGCTGTTGGTGTTCTGTTCAGGAAGTTGTTTCCTGTGCCAATGAGTTCTAGGCTGTTCCCCACTTTTTCTACTAACAGATTTAGAGTATCTGGTTTTATGTTGAGGTCTTTGATCCACTTGGACTTTAGTTTTGTGCAGGGTGATAAATATAGATCTATTTTCATTTTTCTGCATGTGGACATCCAGTTGGACCAGCACCATTTGTTGAAGATGCTGTCTTTTTTCCATTGAATGGTTTTGGCTTCTTTGTCAAAAATCGAGTATTCATAGGTGTGTGGGTTTATTTCTGGGTCTTCTATGCGGTTCCATTGATCCTCCTTTCTGTTTTTATGCCAATACCATGCAGTTTTTATTATTATTGTTCTGTAGTACAACTTGAGATCGGGGATGGAGATACCTCCAGATGATCGGTTGTTGTACAGGATTGTTTTGGAGATTCTGGGTTTTTTGTTTCTCCATTTGAAGCTGAAAATCTTTTTTTCAAGGTCTGTAAAGAATTGAGTTGGTATTTTGATGGGAATTGCATTGAATCTGTAGATTGCTTTTGGCAGGATGGCCATTTTCACAATGTTAATCCTACCAATCCATGAGCACGGGAGATCTTTCCATCTTCTGAGATCTTCTTCAATTTCTTTCATCAGAGACTTGAAGTTTTTCTCAAACAGGTCTTTCACTTGCTTGGTTAGTGTCACCCCAAGGTACTTTATGTTATTATTGGCTATTGTGAAGGGTGTTGTTTCCCTAATTTCTCTCTCTGCCCTTTTGTCTTTGGTATACATGAGGGCTTCTGATTTTTTTGAGTTGATTTTGTATCCTGCCACTTTGCTGAAGGTGTTTATCAGCTGGAGGAGTTCTCTGGTTGAATTTTTGGGGTCGCTCATATATACTATAATATCATCTGCGAATAGTGACACTTTGACCTCTTCCTTTCCAATTTGTATCACCTTGATCTCCTTTAGTTGTCTTATTGGTCTGACTAGGACTTCAAGTACTATGTTGAAGAGGTAGGGAGAGAGTGGGCAGCCTTGTCTTGTCCCTGATTTCAGTGGGATTGATTTAAGTTTCTCTCCATTGAGTTTGATGTTGGCTATAGGCTTGCTGTATATTGCCTTTACTATGTTTAGATATGTGCCTTGTATCCCTGATCTCTCCAAGACTTTAAACATGAATGGGTGTTGGACTTTGTCAAATGCTTTTTCAGCATCTAAGGAGATGATCATGTGGTTTTTCTCCTTCAGTTTGTTTATGTGGTGGATTACATTGATGGATTTCCGTATGTTGAACCACCCTTGCATGCCTGGGATGAAGCCTACTTGGTCATGGTGGATGATATCTTTGATGTGTTCTTGGATTCGGTTTGCAAGTATTTTATTGAGTATTTTTGCGTCAATGTTCATAAGAGAGATAGGTCTGAAGTTCTCTTTTTTTGTTGGATCTTTGTGTGGTTTAGGTATCAGGGTGACTGTTGCTTCATAGAATGAGTTTGGTAATGTACCTTCTGTTTCTATTTTGTGGAATAGTTTGAGGAGAATTGGTGTGAGCACTTCTTTGAAGTGCTGGTAGAATTCCGCGCTGAAACCATCTGGCCCAGGGCTTTTTTTGGAGGGGAGACTGTGAATGACTGCTTCAATTTCCT